AAGATCAGTTGGCTTTAGGTATGTGGCCTTATTTTTTGTTCTCTTCCATTGACAATATGTTTATTTTTATACCAGTACCATACTTTTTTGGTTACTATAGGCTTGTAGTATAATTTAAAGTCTGGTAATGTGGTGCCTTCAGCTTTGTTCTTTTTGCTTAGGATTGCTTTGGGTATTCAGGCTCTTTTTTGGTTCCATATGACTTTTAGAATTTTTTTTCATTTTTTTAGTTCTGTGAAAATGAGCTTGGTAATTTAATAACAATTGTATTAAATCTGTAGCTTGCTTTAGACAGTATGGTCATTTTATCAAAATTGATTCTTTCAATTCATGTTTTTCCACTTGTTTGTGTCATCTATGATTTATTCGAATTTTGTAGTTTTCTGTATACAGATCTTTCATCTCCTTTGTTAAATATATTTATAGGTTTTTTTCTTGGTAGCTATTGTGAATGAGATTGCTTTCTTGATTTAATCCTCGGCTAGATCATTATTGGTATATAGAAATGGTTGTGATTTTAATTTGCATTTCTGTGCATTAATTTTGTATCTTGAAACATTACTGGATTTATTTATGAAATCTAAGAGTTTTTTGGTGGAGTCTTTAGGGTTTTCTAGGTGGAAGATAATATTATTGGCAAGCAGGGATAATCTGACTTCCTCTCTTACAATTTAGTTTCTTTTATTTTTTTTTCTCTTGCCTGATTCCTCTGGTGAGGACTTCTAGTACTATGTTGAATAAGAGTTGTGAAAGTGGACATCATTTTCTTATTCTAGTTCTTAAAGGGAATGCTTTCAAATTTTCTTCATTACATATAATGTTGGCAGTGGGCTTGTCATATATGTCCTTTATTATGTTGACGTATGTTCCTTCTGTGTCTAGTTTGTTGAGAATTTTTATCATGAAGAGATGCTGAGCCGGGCTCCGTGGCTCAGCCTGTAATCCCGTGCCTTTGGGAGGCTGAGGTAAGTGGATTGCCTGAGCCCGCGGGTTCGAGACCCACCTGGGCAACTTGGCGAGACCTCATCTCTACAATAAAAAAATAAAAAAATAAAATTAGCCGGGTATGGTAGCGCACGCCTGTAGTTCCAGCTACTTGGAAGGCTGAGGCGGAAGGATCGCCGGAGCCTAGCAGGTTGAGGCTGCGGTGGCCGGGAGCGGCCACTGCACTCTAGTCTGGGCGACCGAGTGAGACTCCAACTCAAAAAAAAAAAAAAAATGAAGAGATGCTGAATTTTATCAAATGCTTCATCTGCATCTGTTAAAATGATCATATGGTTTTTGCCCTTAATTCCATTTGTGTGATGTATCACATTTTTGATTTGAGTATGTTGAAACATCTTTGTATCCCTGGGATAAAACCTGTTCATGATGTGTTATTCTTGATGTGCTGTTGGATTCGATTTCCTAGTATTTTTTTAAAGGATTTGTATGTCTGTTTTCATCAAGGATATTGTTCTGTAGTTTTCTTTTATTTTATTTTTGGTTTTGTTTTGGGGTTTTCTTGGTATCAGAATGATACTGGCCTCACAGAATGAGTTAGGGAGAATTTCCTCCTCCTTGGTTTTTTTTTTGGAACAGTTTTATGAGGATTGAGTGTTAAGTTCTTCTTTGTATATTTGGTAGACTTTGTGAATCTATCTGATCCTAGGCTCTTTTATTGTTGTTTTTGGGAGTTTAAAACAATTTTTAATTTTTATATTTATTACTGATTCCATATTGCTACTCTTTACTGGTCTGTTTATGAGTTCTATTTCTTTATGGTCCAATCTCAGGAAGTTGTGTGTTTCCAGGAGTTTATCCATGTTCTCTATGTTTTCTAGTTTGTGAGTTTATTGTTATTCATAATAGTCTGATGATCTTTTGTATTTCTGTGGTATAGTTGTAATGTCTCCTCTTTTGTTTCTGATTGTCTTTAATTAGATCTCCTGACTTTTCTTGATTAATCTAACCAGTGTTTTATCAATTTTATTTATCTTTTTGAAGAACTATCTTTTTGTTTCATTGATCCTTTATCTTGTTATTTTTACTCTCTGTTCCATTTAGTTCTGCTCTGATGTTTCCTTTTTTTTTCTGCTAACTTTGGGTTTGGTTTGTTTTTTTTCCAGTTTCTTGAGGTGTAGTATTAGGTTGTTAATTTGTAAACTTTCTACTCTTTGGACTTAGGCATTTAATGTTATAAGCTTCCATCTTCAACAGCGTGCTGTTTAATTTCTGTGTATTTGTGTAGTTTCCAAAATTCCTCTTGGTATTAATTTTTAGCTTTATTTCACTGTGGTATGAGAGGTTATTTGATATGATTTTTATTTTAAAAGAACATTGTCTTGTTTTATGGCCTAATGTTGTATATCTTAGAGCATGTCCCATGTACTTATGAAAAGAATGTATATTCTGTAGTTGCTTAGCTTGTTCTGCCAATGTCTGTTAAGTCCATTTTGATCTAAAGGCCAGTTTTTTTTTGAGTTGGAGTCTCACTCTGTCGCCCAGACTGGAGTGCAGTGGCCGCTCCCGGCCACCGCAGCCTCGACCTGCTGGGCTCCGGCGATCCTTCCGCCTCAGCCTTCTAAGTAGCCAGAATTATAGGCATGCATTACCACACCCAGCTGATTTTTTGATTTATTGTAGAGATGAGGTGTCGCTGCTCAGGCAGGTCCTGAACCCGTGGGCTCAGGCAATCCAGTCACTTCAGCCTCCCAAAGCGCGGGATTACAGGCTGAGCCACTGAGCCCAGCTTAAAGGCCAATTTGAGTCTAATGTTTCTTTGTTAATTTTCTGTCTTGATGATCTGTCTAGTGCTGTGAGTGGGGTGTTACAGTTTCCCACTATTATTGTATTGCATTGTATTGCTGTCTGTCTCTTTCTTTAGTCCTATAATATTTGTTTTGTGAATTTGGGTGCTCTGATGTTGGGTGCATATATATTTAGGATTATTATATCCTGTTGGTGAATTGATCCCTTTATTACTATAATGATCTTTGTCTTTTTTTTTTTTTTTTTTTTTACTGTTTTTGATTTAAAGTCTGTTTTATCTGATGTAAGTGTAGCTACTCATGTTCACTTTTAGTCTCCATTTGTATGAAATATTTTTTCCAGTCCTTTACTTCCAGTATATATATCTTAATGAATGAGGTAAGTTTCTTGTAGGCAACATATCGTTGGATTATGATATCTAAATATATTCTGTTCAGGTAGATTTTGAAAAGTAGAGATGTACAGCTGACTTTGGAAGCAAATAATATATTATGTCTAATATGCAATATGACTCAGAAATTTTAATGTTCTATATTACCTTGCTAACTGAACTATTGACTAAGCCAAAATTCCAAGACCTTGAGATATAGACTATTATATGTGGCTGTATAATTTTGAATTTTTTGGATAACTGCATGCTTATAAATATCTTTGGCTGGTGCAGTTATAAAGTGTGCCTGTTTTCAACTTCTGTAATAGGATTTAATTTCTTCTAATCCAAAAGATAAGTGCAAATGCACCACTTGTAAACTTCCTAAGCCCAAAGTGGTTTTTCTGGGTTTTTGTTGATCTTTATAATGACATTGTGATTTTTGGCATTATTGTTTTTGATGATACTATTAAGATAGAAATATACAAAGATCAATGTTAGTATTTTACTAATAACCATAATACTTTTTATTTTCCTTTTTACTTTTCTCATTTAGCTTATACCATAAGTTATAATACGTACTTGGAAAAAAATCAACTTTTCTATATTCACTAGAACTTATCTTTTCCCCTTTGTTTATTTATGATTATTTATTGTAAGGCCCTGGAGATAGAGAACAAGATAGGGCAAATTCTGTCTTCATGGAATAAATATACTGTGTGTCCTAGTGGGGGACACAACAACAACACAAAGAAATAAATAAGATAATTTTAGTTATTGATTTTAAAAAGGAGTGCTTAGGATTATGTGGCACTAACACACATGGAGTTGAACAATATTACAAATGTAGGGCTAAAAATGTTTGAATATTTAATATTTAAAAGTCAAAAATCAAACTACTTCCTTGACCTAGCTTGAGTTCTCAGCAAACTACACCCTCAAGATCCAGAAGCTAAAGGACCTGCTCTCTCCTCCTCTCCAGTGTTTTTACCTGACAGCCTGAGTGGTAGTATGGATGTGTTGGGGTAGGGCAGGGATTGTTGGTTGATGCTTAGATTAATCTAAAACAGTATACAAACTGATCCCATCATGTCCCTGGGAATCCGGTTACACAGAGGTTCACCTTTCCAGCTTCTTGCTTTTGCAACTCAAGACTTCCAGGAAGTTTTAAGCTCTTTTCAACATTGCACTACCTAGAAGAGAGTAGAAAGAGGATGCAGGTATCTGGGAAACCTAGTTTGTTGAGGCAATCACTTTGATTTGAAGCAGCCAACTCTAACTGAGTAAAGCTTTTATAAGCAGCCACGCTTTCTAGGATTTCTCGTAGTGAAGCCATGTTGATGTTTTCCTTCTCCACACATACTAGAGCACTAAGTTCTTTGTCCTTTGTCCTGTGAGGCCTCATTCAGCTAGGACCTCTCTCGTAATTCTCATTTTCTCAGTTGGTTACTGAATTTTCAAAAAACTTCATTACAAGGAAAGAAAAAAAAAATCTGTTTTAGTGCTTGGGGTATGCAGGACTCTTTGATGTGCAGGCCCCTGGCAGAGACTTCTCTTCTCTTGCCAAGGCCGTACACTTTTAATGCTCTTTGACTTCTCCCTGTCCTGCTATTCTGATTCTTCTTAGCCCCTCACTCAATTTATTTTAATTTATAAATTTGTTTAATTTCCAAAACTAAACTAAAATCGTTTGAAATAACTATGTTTGAAAAGTAATCTCCAAATGAAAATGAACATATTCTAAATGGCTTTCTGGTAAGATTGTAAATAGCAATGACTAGTTTTCATGTCTCACTTACCTTCTCCCGTGGGGTTAGTGATTTAGATTTGTAAATTTGAACATTAGCTTAAATGTTATGTTTTAATTCTCTATTTACAGGTGTGAAAACTGTGTGGATTTACTGTTTGTAAGAGGTGCTGGAAACTGTCCTGAGTGTGGCACTCCACTTAGAAAGAGCAACTTCAGGGTACAACTCTTTGAAGATCCCACTGTTGACAAGGAGGTTGAGATTCGGAAAAAAGTGCTAAAGATGTAAGTATGATTGCTTGAATAATTTAGTCAACAAAGAAGACTTTAACAGAGATTTAAATAATTGATAACATTATTTGATGGTGAAAATATGGACAAATTGGCAAGTTAATAACTAAATTTATCTATTAAGTTCTTAGAGAACTGAGTAATACTTTTGTTAAAGAAGAGTCTCCTGATTGATGTCTTCACTGTTTATTTATTCATTTGTGTTTGTTCTTTAACTTAAGCAGTATACAGGTATTGAGTACCTGCTGTGTGCAAGCACTGTGTTTTTCATGTTAGGCAGCTGGTTTGAAATGATGAGTAAAACGGTTGTGGACTCTATCCTCATGAGACTTACGGTGTAATAGCATAGGGCAGCAAAATGATAGATGGTAGAACAGGCAGACAGAACAAGTATGTTATTATAAATTGAGAGAAGTGCTATGAAATTAGTGATAGTATTGGTGGGGTCAATGATGGCAAGTAAGGACTAAGTAGGAAACATTAAGTTGAGGTTTGAAGGCTATTAGAGGAAATCATGTGTTAGTTATAATTTAGTTTGGTATGTATGAATGTGTGTATATATACACACATACATATATAGATATACTGTGAATATATGTGTGTATATATATACATACACACATATGTATGTACCCATTTATATATATATAAATTTTTTATATTTATATATAAAATTTTTTTTTTGAGTTGGAGTCTCACTCTGTCGCCTAGGCTAGAGTGTAGTGGCACACTCACAGCCACCCCAGCATCCACCTGCTGGGCTCCGGGAATATGTCGCCTCAACCTTCCAAGTAGTGGGAACTACAACCATATGCTACCATGCCCAGCTAATTTTTGATTTATTGTAGAGATGCGGTCTCGTCAAGTTACCCTGACTGGTCTTGACCTCGGGGGCTCAGGCAATCCACTTGTCTTGGCCTCCCAAAGTGCTGGGATTACAGGCTGAGCCACTGATTCTGGCCCCCATTTATATTTTTAATCTGTCTTTTTCATTTATAACCTGGGTTTTGCTTTTTATGATTTTTAGTAGTTTTTGGTTTCATTTGATTTATTCTTTTATTATACAAACCTTATTGTTTATTAAATTAAAATGATATATATATATTTTAATATACTCTTTAAAATATTAGTTATTTATTATAGAGTTGTGGGGTACAAATGAGAATTTACTACATAAGTAGCCTGCATGCAGGTGAAGGTTGGGCTTCCAGCTGGCCCTCACTCCCCCTGGTAGTGGACCAGGTACCCTTTGTATTGTCATGTGTTCCCCACTCTCCTCTTCCTTCCCTCCCCTAGCAGTGCCCAGCAACTGCCAATCCCACCCTTGTGCTAATGTGACTATTGTTCAGGGCCCTCTTAGGAGTGAGAACATGTGGTATTCAGTTCTTCATTTCTATGATAGTTCACTTAGTATCATGGTCTCCAACTGCATCCAATTTTCTATACAGGCCATGATTTTTTTTTTTTTTTTAAGGCTGCGTAATACTTCATTGTGTATATGTACAACATTTAAAAAATTCATTTCACTTTCAGTGGGCAATAGGGTTGGTTCCATGTTTTTGCTATTGTGAATAATGTGATATAAATATGTGTGTATAGGTGACTTTTTTGTAGATTTATTTATGTTCCTTTGGGTATATTCTCGGGAGAGGGATTGCTGGATCATATGGAAGATCAATTTTTAGTTATTTTAGAAATTGTCACACTGCTTTCCATAGAGGTTTAACTGGCTTATTTTTCCAGCAACAGTGGAGAAGTGTTTCCTTTCCTCTGCAGCCATGCCAGCCCTTGTTGTTTTTTAACTTATTAATGATAGCCATCCTTACCGGAGTTAGGTGGTATCTCATTGTAGTTTTGATTTGCATTTCTCTGATGATTAGTGAGGTTGAGGATTTTTTCATGTGTTTGTTGACTGTATGTATGTCATCTTTTGAGACATGTCTGTTCATGCCCTTTGCCCACTTTTTAATGGGGTTGTTTGGTTTTTTTTCCTTTCACTTTGTTTGAGTTCCTTGTAGATCCTGGATTTAGGCCTTTGTCAGATGCATAATTTGCAAATATTTTTTCCCATTCTGTGGGTTGCCTCTTTACTCTCTTGATAGTTTCTTTTGCTGTGCAAAAGCTTTTCAGTGTGATAAGGTCCCACCTGTCTATCTTAGCTTTTGTAGCATTTGCTTTTGGGAACTTCATTAAGAATTCATTGCCTACTCCGATGTTCAGAAGAGTGTTTCCTATATAAAATAATTAATATGTTTATTTAGTTTCTTTTTTTCTGGTGGTATACATTTTAACCTAGGTCACAATGTTTTAACAGCATCTTTCTAGGTACCCAACCAGTAATGCTTTATCAATGCCCCAGTGGCTCTTTTATTATATATATTACTTTTAGGAGGTAATCTCTTATTTTCTGATTTTTCAATGTTAGTTCTTTGCAGTTTTTAAATTCTTCACAGCATTCTTTAGACTATAACTGTCATGAAAAATGGAGGAGTTTCTTGAATTTTTAAAAAAATTTGTGAATCTAGTTATTAGAAGTAAACATTATCATAATTTCCAATGATGTACTTTGTTTAAGCTCATTTCCCAATCCTTCAAGCTCCTAATTTCTCCTTCTCATAAATCTTACAGGGATTTTTTATGTCATACCATTCTCTCCAGATTGTATTCCCTATAGTATTAAGAATTAATGAATTACATTTTTAGTCTAGTTATACAAACCTGGTGTCAAGAAAAGTGTTTTACACAGTCAGCAATCCTTTTCTATGTGTTGTATATGAATTTGGTAATAACAAACAAACCAGTGAGATAATACTAAAATCAATGATGTGTAGTATATTAATTTTTTTTCCTTGTCTTAAAGATACAATAAGCGGGAAGAAGACTTTCCTAGTCTAAGAGAATATAATGACTTCTTGGAAGAAGTGGAAGAAATTGGTATGTTTTTAATTTGATGTGCTTGTCTATGCAACTGTGTGATTTTATCATTTAGATACCTAGTGGAACATATCACATAAAAACCTCTAACGGATTTTGCTGTGATAGCTGATATTACCTAATTACTTTCTTTTGCACTTGACTCATGTTTGTCAAGTTGAAGGCATACTTAAGTAATATTTTATCTTTGGAAAAATATGATTAATGGAGGTAGTAACACTTTGTAGCTGGAGGAAGGCCAGATATATATCTGTACATCTAATATTGATCTATATGTTGATAATGTATTAGAATAGTTTTAATGAACGAAAAGTGTATTCTGATCTTTTTTTCTTTTTTTGAGTTGGAGTCTCACTCCATTGCCTAGGCTGGAGTGCAGTGGCACACTCATGGCCACCCTAGTGTTGACCTGCTGGGCTCTGGCAATCCTTCCGCCTCAGCCTTCCAAGTAGCCGGAACTACAGGCACACGCTATCACGACTGGCTAATTTTTACATTTATTGTAGAGATGAGCCCTCGCCAAGTTGTCTGGGCTGGTCTCGAACTTGCAGACTCAGGCAATCCACTCTCCTCGGCCTCCCAAAGTGCTGGGATTACAGGCTGAGCCACCGAGCCAGGCCATGATCTTTTAAAAGTAGTATTTCTGGTGAGGCATGATGGCTCATGCCTGTAATCCTAGCACTTTGGGAGGCAGAAGCAAGAGGATTGTAACTTGGCAAGACCTTATCTCTACAATAAATAAAAAAATTAGCTGGTTATGTGCTTGTAGTTCCAGCTACTTGGAAGGCTGAGGCTGAAGGATCTCCTGAGCCCAGCAGATTGAGGCTGCAGTAGCGTGAGCGTGCCACTGTACTCCAACCTGGGTGACAGAGTAAGACTCTGACTCAAAAAAAAAAAAAATTCTATTAACTTCATTCATGGTGACTAAAGCCATTATGTTGTTTATCATCATTTATGCTTCCATGGATATAGTAGTTTGAAATATTTTGAAGCAGTTGACTGTTGAAGTAGCATTCTGTTAATCAAGTTAGAGTAAACTTTGTACCTTTTTTTCTTATTAGACAAAAGGATGTTTTTTGTCAAGAAAAAATATTGTTTTGGTTTTCTTAACATTTCAGAGAAGTTAAGTCTGGAAGTTGTACATTGATTTTAGAGAATGCTGATTTTTAAAAATTGCCACATTTATTACTAAGTGCAGGTTTGGAAATGATGTGAATTATAGACTGTAAAAATTAGAATGAAACTATGAAGATCAAACAATTATTTTAAAATTCTCTCAAACTTGATAGCTAACTATATTCAATATTTCTTATTACAATATGATTATAATATAATTGATCATTTTTTAGAAGGTAAATTTTGAGAAAATTTAAATATCTGAGAAAATACTAATACCCTTCATTTCTTTACTGAGAAAAATTCAGAAAATTTTTTTATCTCAGCTGTTATCTAAACTTTTCTAAAATGTGTAAGTTCATTTGCTATGCCACGTGTACAGAACGTAATTTAAGGTTTTTTCAGAAAGCTTTTGGTGCTGTAGAGCCACTACCTTTCATTGCACTTTGATGTAATCTTAGCAACCCTGAGTGAGTGACTATGAATTTTGGCTGAAAAGATGGTAGAATTGGGAATGACAAGGCAAAGTGGAAAAGTTAGGATATAGACTGAGAAGATAAACCAGAGAGAAATCTACAAGAACTGGGCAATTAAGCAGGTATATAGAAATCTTGTTATACATACATATTAAGTATAGGACAAGCAGTTAGATGGCTATTAGGAAGAAAAGCAGTTTACATATATTCTAAAGGTAATGTGATTAGTGAAAATTCTGGTTGGACAATAAAGGGAAAATTGATTATAGGTATTGCAGGGCAAGTTGAATACATAGTCATAATTTCAAGTAGTCAGGACAACTAAAAGAAACTGATGGGCAAAGAAGGTATTGGTAAGAGATGAACTACAGGGGAATCTTGATTCTATGATAAGGTTCTAATTGAGCTATGATTTAAATACACACACACACACACACACACACACACACACACACACACACACACACACACACACACACATACACTTGCTCTGAGATAAATTAGTTTGAAGATATGGACAACCTGGGGCCCATAGGTTAAATCAGGTTCATATCCAGATGAAGGAACTAGGATCCACAACCAAGAGCAAGACTGGATATTAGGGTTATACAATATGTAATGCTTTCTTTATCAGATAAAGAAACTGGCCTGGAGCATTTAATTTGAAAGTGATTGTTATTATGTATATTCATGAAGAACTGTCTTCAGATGCAGTATGTGGAAACTCTATCAACTAACCTCCACTTAATTGTCTCATTGGAGTAACTGACATTCTTCAGTCCTTCCTTAAAATGTACCAACTGATAGTCAAAGCATAATGTATGCATGATGAATGCTGTTGAAGGTGCCCTTGAAGACACCTCTGTACTCTTACCAGTTCAGTTATACACCAAGTTATTAATTTCAATAACCAAACTTTCTAATGCCAGTTGTAATAGTAGTTATGTAATTTATTTAGTTTATTTAATTTATTTATATAATTATGCAATTTAATTAGCATATAAAGTTGGGGAAAATTACAAAAATCCAGGATTCTATTCAAGTTATTTATTTACCTAAAAAAAAAATAGGAATTGAACATTATAGATGACAGTTATGACCTGTATAGGAAAGAAACAAAACTTCAGTTAAAGACTAGAATTTGGGTGTATGTCATGAAGTTATGCTTAATGACTGTATACTTACTATTTATGTTTTTTGTTGAAGTATTTAAAGAGAGAGAGAGAGAGAAAGAGAGAGAGAGAGAGAAGCTGGAGTGATGGCTCACATCTATAATCTTAGCAATTTGGGTGACTGAGGTGAGAGAATCACCTGAGCCTGGGAGTTCGAGACCAGCCTAGGCAACATAGTAAGACCATGTCTTTATAAAACATTTAAAAAATTAGCTGGGCATAGTGGCAAACATGGGGCTGAGGCAGGAGGATCACTGGAGTCCAGTAGTTTAAGTTGCAGTGTGTGGAAACTATTAACCAACCTGTACTTAATTGTCTTGTGACACTGTACTCTATCTAGCCTGGGTGACAGAGTGAGATCCTGTCTTAAAAATAATAATAAAATTAAGTAAATATGTGTATGTGTTTCCATTCTTTAACAGGGTTCTCTAAGTAGTCAACTATAAATCCTGATCATGTTGATTAATAGAATGGTTCTACCTTATTTAAAGATATTGATGATTTGGGGGAACTGACCTCACGGATTTATAGTTTATTTTCTGAACTTCAGTTCAACAAATATTTTTTGTTATATGTAAACTGCTTTTCTGCTGCGTATATATGATATTGTCCTTCAACAAGCTCAGACTATAAAGCAGTAATTATGTTAACTAATAATTATAATTTAATGTGATAATTCTTATAGGCATTTATAAAATCCTGTGGGAATACAGATAAGAAATCAATTAATTTAGCATTGGGAAGTAGAGGTATAGTTTGATGAAGTTCATAGACAAGATGATGTGAATTTGATCTTAAAAGATGTAGGAGTTTACCAGGTAGAAAGGGGATGAAAACATTTGTAGCAATAGAAAAGGAACAGAGAGAATACAAAGATGTTGAGCATGTTGAAGAAATGAGCAGGAAGCTTATTTCAGGTAGATAGAACATGGGAAATGACTAAAAATGAAGCCTGAAACAAGTTGGACCTGAGTTAAGGAGGGCTTAGTACCTAGGCAACAAAAGTGTGAGCTATTGCGCCCTGCTCAAAAAAAAGCAAAAATAGGCAAATGGAATTGTATCAAGCTAATATGCTTCTTCACAACAAAGGAAACAACAGAGTTAACACATAACCCACAGAGTAAGAGAAAATATTTGCAAACCATACATCTGATAAGGGGTTTATTTCTAAAATATTTAAGGAACCCAGACAACTCAATAGCAAGAAAACAACCTGATTAAAAAATGGACAAAGGAACTGAATAGACATTTCTCAAAATAGTACATAAAAATGGCCAAAGACATATGCAGTGCTCAACATCGTTAATCGTCAGGGAAATGCAAATTAAAATTACCATGAAATATCACTTCACATCTATTAGAATGGCTATTATCAAAAAGACAAAAGATAAGTGTTGGTGAGGACCTTGAGAAAAGGGAGCTCTTGTACACCACTGGTGGGAATGTAAATTAGTACAGCCATTATGGAGGATCCTAAAATATTAAAAACAGAATTACCATATGATTCAGTAATCTTACTTCTGGGTATATATCCAAAAGCATTGAGATCAGTGTGTTGAAGAGATACCTGCGCTACCATGTTTATTTTAGCATTATTCCCATTAACCAAGATATGGTATCAACCTAAGTGTCCATCAATGGATGAATGGATTAAAAAAATGTGGTATATATACAAAATGGGATACTTTGCATCCTTAAAAAAGAAGGTAATTCTGTAATGTACAACAACATGGATGAACCTGGAGAACATTATGCTAAGTGAACTGAGTCAGTAACAAAAAGATAAATATGGCATGGTCCCATTTATATGTGCAATCTAAAGAAGTTGAATTTAGAGAATTAGAGGGTAGAATGGAAGTTACCAGAGGCTGTGAAGTTGAGTGGTGTGTGGGGAATGGGGAGATTGTGACCAAAAGTTAAAAAATTTCAGTGAAACAGGAAGAATAAGTTTTTGAGATCTATTGCATAGCATGGTGACCATAGTGAATTATAATATTAACTATAAATACTTCAAAATTGTTAAAAAATAGATTTTAAATGTTCTCATTGCAAAAACAATAAATGTGTCAGGTGATGAATATGTTAAGTAGCTAGATGTAGCACCACAATGTATATATATATCTAAACACTACATTGTACACCATAGATATAAACAATTATTTTGTTCAATTAAAAATAAAAATTTACATTAAAAAAGGAGGGTTTTAAAACTAGGCTGTCAGGTTAAGATTTTATT